AAAATATGCAGAGCATGTAAAAAAACTGAAGGTTGAAGTAGATATATTGTCTTAAAAACCTAGTTGACTATAAGATCATGGCGTGACGTTATGACGTTTCCTTTTCCCTTTCAAAAATCATTGATCATTTTTAGAACAGTTTCTTTTCGTCTTCTGTAGTCCTGGGACTTTGAACTCCGTTCCTTATAGGATTTGAATTCGCTTGCTTTAGATTGAGCCATTCCTGGTTCTGATTGTGAGGACTGTTAGTTTTAAAATAATTTGCTCATCACCTTTGGCTCAGGCGGCAAGGCAAGTTACTTATCGGCATTTTAGGTGAGTATTCTATTCATTAGAGGAAGTCTTTTTTTTTATTTTGTTTCAATAATGAATCACTGAACAAGTTTCGAAGATATACCACCTCCTGAGCGCGTGAGTTTTGCAAAAGAAACTGAATACATGACGCAAGTATTAAATTTAACATTTTCTTTTACATCTTAGGAATTGGGAATCACTTTTTGGAAAAAAAAATATTTAGCCTACTGATGTCATTCGGCCTCCACCTTTCGTCTTATTTCAAATAGTTTTTTCTCCTTGTGACTCATAAGGAAATATAAGGATTTTTGTTTTTTCACTTGTAACTCTTGATAAGGTTCAGATTCGGGACCAAGCAATGATGTTAATATTTTTTCTTATAATCGTTTTTGATGACTCTGACTAAAATACAATCTCAGAACAAAATAGAGTTTTCATCCGAATCAACACGTGCTGCATTCGAATTATGGACCATGGCATTCAGAACAATCGCTGTTCAGCCCGCGTAACTCAATCGAATTTTCAAACTGACACACATGATTGTATTTTGAAAATTTCTGGTCATTCGAAACATCTTCAAGTGAATGAAATACGTCCAAAAGTAAAGAAGATCGTTATTTAATTTTTAGCACGTTTGAACACACAGTTTGATCAAAATAAAGGATCGAAAATGATATTTTACCAAGAAAATAAAACTAAAGAATTGGCCAAAAAGAAAACGCACGTTCTAATTTTAGTGAGCGGCCCTATCGACTTCGGCAAATAAATTTCCCTGGTAGGAAATAAAAAAAAATTGGCAAAAAATAAAGAAGAACTGCCACACACCGAATTTTACTGAGCCGTACTTTCC